CCCCCCCTTCCCCCCCTCCCCCCTTCTCCCCCTCCCCCCCTTCCCCCCCTCTTCATCAGAGGGCGAAGGGGAATGAAAAAGCGAGTCGCAGCCGAGAACGGCCACTTCCCCATATGACATCGATCAGAATCCTCCCAAGCGGATCCGCCGAGAAATTCCCCATCGTTTTCCCTTCGAGTCTGCAGTCAGAGCAATTTTTGATCAGATTTTCTTCTAATCCCACCGGATTCCACCGGATTCGACCTCGGTCTTTTAAATCCCCAATCTAGCATTACCTTGGGTCTTTCGCGATGTCTAGTTGTTTATGACGGCCCACAGCCCCAAGTTACACATAACTTCGTAAAAAAACTTAATTCATACCATCATATAAAAGTGACTGATTATGCATTATTCAGTACCTGTGCCTATTGCCTGATAATGCATAAATTAATTAGCATCGAATGACCTTCCTCAGCCAGATGGACTTTCACAGCTCAAGGGGGAGGGGGGTAGGAGGAAAGAGGAAGGTGGAAGGAGAAGGTGGAAGGTGGAAGAAGAGGGAAAGTGGAAGGAGAAGGTGGAAGGTGGAGGAAGGGGGTAGGAGGAAGGGGGTAGGAGGAAAGGGGAAGGTGGAAGGAGAAGGTGGAAGGTGGAGGAAGGGGGAAGGTTGAGGAAGGGGTAGGAGGAAAGGGGAAGGTGGAAGGTGGAGGAAGGGGGAAGGTGGAAGGACACAATATTTGCATTCTTTGTGGTTTGACATTTATTTTTAAAAAAATGAAGTTCCACAGGATTTGAGTTTATTTTATTCCACAAAAAAATTAGCAATGGCCGAATCCGAAATCGAATGGAATCGCAATCCGAGATTTGCAATCGTGGTTCGTCAAAAATGAATTTTGACTGATTTGGGAAAGATTGCGTTGGATATTGGCTCGAACTTCCGATTGGCACCAGTAGGTTACCGAGAAACCTCTTGATTGGTTTCAAAAGGAGGCCACTTATGCCCATACCCTAAAATAGCATTTAAAATATACTAATATAATAATATATAATTGCTAATTATGAACGTGCGTAGATTGAATATAAAAATATGTACAGCAATTATATTTGTCTTCAATGACGTCCTGTTGAGAAACATCACTGGAAAAATTAAGGAATTCAGGGGTGCAAAATATGGAGCATTTGAGGAAATAAATTTTCGCAGCGAATTTTGCGAAATGGCAAAAAACGCAAAACCGTCCACAAAAAGGCGCCCGTCCGCAAATTGCCTTAATTATTTTTGGATAACGAAAATTGCGAGGAAGTTCCCCTGGGAAGTTTGGAGGGAAGTGGGCGGAGGAGGAGATCTCCGCCACCTATTTTGGGATAACCCACTTGGATAATCCCCAAGGATAATTCCCTATGTGAATCCCCTAGAGAACCATGAGTGTTAGCGCGAATTCCACCGGTCGGTTGAGTCAACAGTGCGGCCAAACCAGAAATGCTCCTCGCCCCTTGTAATCGAAAATGCAAAATTTTAGCAAAAATTTTTTGGATTTTTATCCTTGGTTAATATTTCAACTGAATCTCGACCTCGTCTGCTTATTTATTATGTAATTATATTTCCTGCAGATCGCGTATAACAAAGCAACAGGACATCACCTCCTTCCAACAAGGCATCACCTCCACCCGACAAGGCATCACCTCCTTCCGACAAGGCATCACCTCCATCCCTGACTGTGGAACCCCATGAAAAAAAAAGAGAAACAGACGGCGTCAGCCTCAGTGTATGCCCATTCACGCGGCGACTGTGTATGACACCGCTAGGTGGGTGTGTATGACACCGCAGGTAGGTGTGTATGTCTCCGTGGGTGTGGATGACACCCTCCCCAATCGGCTCGCCTTCGCAAACGGTCCTGTCGCTTCCACCACCCCGGAACCTGACTCCTAACGATTTCTCACCCTCCAAATCCCCCATAATATCAATTATCTCAATTCTATTTAATACAAATCATGAAAATAAAATTGATTATTATTCCTAATAATTTCCTAGTGCAGTTGTTCGAAACGAGCGTCTACAGCCGTTTTCTCATAACATCCATGTAGAAAAATCATTCGTGGGTGCATCATCAGTCCTGAAAATTTTTTGACACGAAAATCTGCAGGAATGGCCCACATAATTTCTCATTTGGCTTAATTAGCTTAATTTAAAATTAATGACTCAATATCCAGCGGTCCCCAAACTTTTTGGGGCGAGGGCCTCACGGACATTTCGGCCCTCTTCGAGTGGGCCACATTGAAAAGGACCCAACATTTCCAAACCTTTATTTGGCCATCTGGCCATTAAAAAAAAATGAGCATCGAAAACTGCCCATTCCTGCCGCACTATGTAGTCGCGGAAATTCCAGCTGCTTAGAGTCGGGGTTCATATTAACGTTCCAGGCGCTGCTTTCCTACAAGTTGTATTTTCGATAATTACTCTCTTTTTCTTCGCCAGAATTTAACTTATTAACTTATTATTATTATTAACTTATTAACTTATTATTATTATTAA